TATAATATAGTATACCCCAAACCCTGTTCCAATTATTAAGGGCCCTATATGAACGAAGGCAAGCTGGTTACATTAATATGGGTTTCGTGGGTACAGTATTTTCTAGTTCTTATTCTTGGACGTCTATAGCTATGCGGCTGATACTCTCAACAGCCTGGTTCAAGTCTCGCTAGTTTCGGAAGAGTTGGTAAAATCTTGGATCTTGGCCTGAAGGCTTGAACAAACTAATATACAGTAGGGGCCTAAATAATTCCACTAGGGTTTGTGGGCATATTATACTACACTTACAAACAGGAGCCCCCAAAACCCTATTCTAATTCTGAAGGCCCCTACATGATGCTCGTTTCGGATGCTTCACGCGCTTCAGAAGCCTGTGGGTTCGTAGCGTTGCTTTGGCAGCAGGGACGAAGATGTCAAGTTTAGGGTTTAGGGTTTAGGGTTTAGGGTTCAGGGGTTGCGGTTTCTGGAGGCATCGGCTCCAGTTTCGGTTGGGTCGGCGCCAAATCCTAAGCTTCACACCCAACGGTCAGATTTAGGGTTTAGGGTTTAGGGCTTAGGGTTTAGGGTTTAGGGTTTAGGGTTTAGGGCTTAGGGCCTCAGTTGACGAACAAAGACCCTTCTGAATCGGAGCCTCGAAAAGCGTAGATCCGCAACCCTGAACCCTTAACCCCAAGTCTAGCCAAGCCGTAGTTCCAAAGAGTCCTTAGATCTCACCCATGCACCCCCAAGGCAGTTTCACAAGAACCAAGAAATAGCAAACAGCATTTAAGCACAATTCAGGGCACCTTGTTTAGAATTTAGGGTCTGGGGTTTAGGGATTTGGGCCCAGTTTTGGTACTATAGTTCTAATGATAACTAAGGCTCCGTTTTGGTGAAACTCCCCTTGTTACGATAAATCCCCACTAGGGCCTTCACCGCCCCGACCAGAAGCCAGCCCCCTAATATAGAAGCCTAAATAATTACTTATATTATTCCTTAGGTTCCTGTTTATAATTATACCATGAAGGAGCCCAACGCTCTATTCCAAGGCCCCTACAGTAAACCAAACCCTGTAAACTTGTCTCATCCGCTGCATACTTCCAACTAGCCCCTCTTTAAGAACCTCATGAAGCTCCATTAGAACAACTTCATGAGGACTTCCATCAACCTATTTACTGCCGTCTTAACATACACAAGCAACTCTATTTTAGGGCTTTGGGTTTAGGGCTTAGGGTTTAGGGTTTAGGGTTTAGGGTTTAGGATTTAGGGCATACATGGTTACATTACCAGCGTTACTTCTTGAACGAAAGAAAGCCATACAACCAGGTCCAAGCGAAGTGCCGAGGAGGACGCGGATGCAACCGCCTTCGATGCTGCTGCCGGGAGACCTGCTTGTCGATAGGTTTATGGTTTCGTAGGAGCCTTTTTCCTCTAAGGGGTCCCATAAGGGTTCCCGTATGGGTTCTATAGAGGTTGAGGGTTTTGGGCTTGGGGTTTGGGGTTCCGTAAAAAAGGGTGTCCCGCGTTGAGTGTTTTGTTCACAGGGTTTTGCAAGGGTTCAGGTGGGCTTGTGGAGCAGTTGATTTTTTCTTCTGGTGTGTGTGTGTGTGTGTCGATTTTAGAAAGGCTTTGCTTACGGTGTTGCTACCGGGTGTGGGCAGGGTCTCGGGTTGAAAAGTCACGGTTCAGGATATCACGTGTCCGCTTGCATTTTGCTCGAGAATATTCATTCATTTACAGTAAATCATAGTACAGACCCTACGATAATAGAAGCGTCATTTCCCAGTAAGCTATCCCTCTCTCTCTCTCTCTCTCTCTCTCTCTCTCGCTCCCTCATTCACTCAATCTCTCACCCTCGCCTCTCTCACTCTTTCACTCTCCCAGTCTCTCACTCTCTCCCTGCTGTGACAACCTCAAGGCCCTGAACCTAAAGCCCCAGATTCTCCATCCCGAATCCTCTAACCGCTAAGCTTTGACGATCCCTTGGCTGCCAGAAGGCCATAAAACAACTCACGAACTTGAAACCCCTGTGGAGTATCTGGCCGTGAATTATTAGAATTGGACTTTACAGCGTATCTTATGTCATACCCAGAGGCTCCATGTATACTACCATTATGCAATTAGGCCCCAAAAGACCATCCTTATTATAGTTTTAGGGACCTGATTCCATGATGGTGGCATATATGGAGCCTGTGGGATAAGCATAACATAGGGACCAGAAAGATTTGTAAACCCCGAACCCCGGGGCCACGCCTTAATTAGCCCCTACATCCGGAGCGCGGAAAGCTTCAAACTCGAAGTCTCAAAGTGTGGCATCAAGCCCCAAGACCCCAACTCTAAACTGGGTCCTTGTTGGCTACACTTTTACATTTGTGTGTTATAATCAAACCCAATAAGGATTAATGATTAATAAAGATGATTTTTAATATGGCCCCAAAAAGGGAACCGGTAAACCTGCAGCTCTAATACCCGGCTAAGCCCCCTGAACCCTAAACCCTAAACCCTAAACCCAAAACCCCTAACCCCTCAACCCTAACCCCTAAACCCTAAGCTCTAAACCCTAAGCTAAGCCACGATCGACCCAGGCTGACGAGGCAAGCGAAGTTGTTCATGGGCAGTGGGCGGGGGACGTTTGTTCAGTTTGCGGGCCCAGGATTTGAGGGTAGGATGTGGGTTTAGGGTTTAGGGTTTAGGGTTTAGGGTTTAGGTAGCTTGGGGCCCCCTTTTGTAGGGCTTGAGCTTAAGGCTTCGACAATTTGGGGTTTTGGCTTTGGCTTTGGATTTGCGGCTGCAGGGCTGAGGATAGGGGGCTCGGGGTTTCGGGCTGTCGAGTTCCAGGCTGTTGGGGTTTCGGGCTCTGCTTCGAGGTTGAGGGTAACGTAGGGGCCTAAATAATGACCAATACCTTGCGCCTGAACATCCCAAAACTCCGAACTAGGGTGTGTAGGGTTTGGGGTTTAGGGCTTTGTCCATAGGGTTTTTCAGGTTTGGGTTTAGGGTTTAGGGTTTAGGGTTTAGGGGTTTAGGGTTTAGGGTTTAGGGTTTAGGGTTTAAGGTTTGGGTTTAGGGTTTAGGGTTTAGAGCTGTGTGCGGTCTCTAAAGCTTTATGGGGTCTTGGCTTTGGGTGGCCCTGGAAGCCTCCAACATTTAAATGCCGGAAACTTCCGCAACACTCTAATATAGGGGCCTTAATAATTAAGATGGGGTCTGGAGGTATATTATACTATAGTTATAATAAGGAACCCCCCAAAATCCTATTCTAATGATTAAGGCCCCTACATTACCCTCAACCCTCCACTCTAACCCGTAAGCCCGAAACGCAAGATCCTGAACCCTGCGCCCGCGCCCAGCGAAAACAAGAAGCCCTGACTTTTGAAATCCTCAATGGTAGTTTCAGAGAGTCCTAAACCTCAAGTGCTCGGATACTTAATGGAAAGACCCCCTAGAAACGGAGCCCGCGTCCCCTAAACCCCAAACCCTAAACCCTAAACTCCTAAACCCTACATCCCAAACACTAAACCCTAACCCCCTAAACCCTCTACACCCCCTAAACCCCCTAAAACCCCTGAACCCCAAATCCTCAACCCAGGAGTTTCTTGGGTTTCTAGGGTTTCTAGGGTTT